GTGGAAGAGCCACACTCAAGGGGCCAAAGAGCCGCATGTGGCTCGCGAGCCGCAGTTTGCCGACCACTGATCTAAGCTCTTACACACCATGTGCTGATTCTTGTCACAGTCCTGGGCACATTATATCAAACCTGTCTGTCCACGTGGCCATCTCTCCTACTTTATATTATTTACTTCATGTCACTAGAGTATAGCACAATGAATACCATACGCTAAGCATTCAATAAATGTTAAATTAAATGAAAGAGAATTGTAAATTGCTCCAGATTCCTCGAGATGATTTTTTCCTATGATACAGACCAGAAAAGGCTCAAAAAAAAGTAGTTGGGAAAAGATGACTGGGTAGAAGTTGAATGTTTTTGTTTGTTTTCAATATTTAAACTATTGGCTGTGAATTTTAATAGATAGTTGCAGAGATTATTAAAGTTTCATCTCTGGGAGAAGAACAGCTTTTTGATATGCAATGTTTAACTTGCAGAGTGAAAGTTACTGAACTGAAAACCAGGTGGTCAATTTGTTAACAACTTTCAACAATTTTAAAATAAAGTTATTAGAGTTCTCTAAAAATAATATTTGCTTGGTATTCTAAAGCACTGATCCTGGGACTCAGCATGCTGAAGGATGAATTTGCAACTTTGTTCAAAATACAGGGTTCCAGTCGTTAGCCCCAGAATTTCAGATTCAGGGGTGGAGCAAAGGCATTTATGTAGGTAGTTTGCTGTTGTTGTTGTTTTTATATGACTGAAAAATGTTTTATTCTCTAGACAAATGTATACTGTCTCAGGCACTATTCAAGATCATGGAGAAGTGATGTCTGCGATTACCACTTTACAAAATGAGATGTCACCATCAAAATACCAGACTAATATCAGAATATCTCCATGGGCAAATATTTTCAAGATACATATTCTACATCACATCAGGGGCATTATTTTACAAGAAATGAATAGAAGAGAGCCTCCTTCGGATGCTCAAATCATCTTGTTGGCCATACAAAATTAAATGAGTGTGGCCAAAGGAGTTAGACCCCCCTCTCCCTCCTCCTCCCCCCCACCCAC